GTGATATTCTATGGCTTACTGTTAATACTCAGTGTTACCTTATTTATTTGAGGGCTCAATTCATAAAAAGGGGATTGAATGTTCGACACCTCTCAGTGGGGTAAGAAATCCAACAAGAGAAATATGGCGATGAGTGCCTAGGCTAAGGTAGCCCTCACATGTTAAGTAAGTCAGGTTGGCTCTTAGATGGAGTTAGTTTTGACTTCTCAAGATTCATATCAAACGGGCACAGGCAATTTAGTAGATTAGTTTATGCCTTAGATTATATTCTATGCTTGTGGAGGTACAAGCGAGGTATAAGATTTACCTGCAAGTTGAAAGTTTCGAGGGCACTTTGTTAGTCAAGAAAGGCTATATTGGCATATGTCATGTATCCAAGCATTTTAAATGGCTAAATTATATGTTATGTTGAATTTATTATTTATTTATTTGACTATGGCTTCCTTTGTAATAAGGAATATAGATTTGCTATTATTGAGATTGCAATTGTCTCACCCGTTTCTTTTTAATAATTATAGGTCCAAGCAAAGGTTTTAGTAGTAGATAAGGAAAAGAGCTAAGCTAAGGGTTTGCATTTCATGGAATGTAAAGAACAACAACCCCTTTCTTTTGAGCAAGTAGGATGTGATTATATATATATGTAAATATGTGTGGATTGTATGCCTGGGTATGATATTTGTTTGCTTATAGACTTATGACTAGGAAACTAGGTTATGGTGTGTAGCTTTGATGGATTTATATTGTAAACCAAGTTTCCACGACAAGCAAATATTTATGTCGGTATTTATATAAATATGTGTGTTTCTACAAACAAATATAAAGTGGTTGCATTGCAGATTGTGTGTTATGAGCAAACATCTACCTTGAATAGGGAGAATGGGTACGTGGGCCCCACAGGGCTCTAAATCAAGTGAAAATGTTTAGCATGTATATTTATATGTGTTTATGGTGTGCATTGGTTTTTGGTTATCCTTGTATGTTTTTTTTTTGTGAATTTTGGGGTCAAAGGTATATTTTGGAAAATGGGACCTGATTGGTTAAATTTTAATATATGGGATTTTTCTATCATTTCACTACTCTATCAGATACTCCTGGTCCTATTTGACGTGTCTAAAGTGTTTCCATGAGTTTGTGACTATTAGGATGAGATTTGGATAACTTTGAACATGGTTTTTATTAAAAAGCTACACTTTTATATCTGGGTGTCTAAATTTGTCATGCCCCAAAAATAGAAGGTGACTGGCACGGGTGTGAACCACTCTCACATTCTTGTGAGCCTCCAAGAATATTTATTCCATTTTACAAGAAAAGAACAAAATTCAATCGAATCACATGAGAATTAAAATAACTTTAAATTTATTATCATAAGAAAGTGTCGACGTTTTTGTAGAAATTTTGGCAGAACCTCCCCTGTAACTAGGATCTCCCAAAAATTCTATAACAAAAATTTCTTTTTACAGATAACAATATAAGTCAGGAGCGTAGCTCCTTCTAGCTAGCAACCAATATACAGATCAAAAATAAGGTTTATCAACAACCTATGTGGAGCATCTACTATTTCTTTCAAATCAAAAAGACATACAAATTATATATTTATATTAAAGCAACAATGCCAATCAAAATGTCCACCTACTATAGCTAGTTGCCCTTTTTGAGGTCGTTGGTAGACTCAGCATCATCTAACCAATCTAAGGCCAACTAATTTTTCCAGTGAATAGCATTCCTATGATAAAATTCTTAAAATTTAAATTTAAAATCTCTAATAATGGTGTCAGGTAATTGAAAGTAATTCCACCAAAATTTATAAGCATGTAAGTCATAATCATATTTGTAAAATAAGAATAAGTTGAAAACAATTTATGTTATCATGCTAAAAGAAGTCAATCTGCTCTCATATAACTCAAAGTGATACAAATTACTAGTCAAAATCAGGTAAATTTCAAAAACACATATTAATCAACATTTAAAATTTTGAGAACTCAATAGAACAAGTTACAAATGTGAACACACAATTCACGAGGGTAAATAACCAAATGCGGCTTATGCCATGAAAACAAACGCCAACAAATCAGTCCACAAGGGTAAGTAACTAAATACATTTAAAGCTATGAAACAAACGTGGACACACAGCCTGCGAGGGTAAGTAACCAAACGCAGATCAAGCCATGGAATCAAACGAGGGCACGAAGCCCACGAATACCAATCATGAGAATAAAACTCACGAAACAAACTAGCTAATATTTAACCACAGCGCGCTACGGGCTAACGAAACTGCCGTTAGCAGCAGTGTTCTGTTTAGAGTCCTTTCAAAAATCATGTTTCAAACATGCAAGAAAAATAATTATTTCTAAAATATAATCTACATTTCCAATATCAAACTCGCATGCATCACTTGAAATTTCAATTTAAGACCTGTTGAAAATAGTCTTTCATAAAATAATATACAAGCTTGCATTATCTAAATAATCAAGGATTTTAAGAGTTTAATAAACCAAATAATTCCATAACTCTTTGAAACATATTCCCTGAGGAAATAAATGCATATATCCTCCTTTAAACATCTCGCATCGATATCACAAAGTTTCAAAACTAATGTAACTCACAAGAATAAAATATCTCAACGAAAATTTATTAAAAATAAAAACACCAATAAAAATAAATTAAAGGGAATGCTATTCACTTACCTATTGAAGTTCTAGATTCTCAAAAGTATTCTTCTTTTAAGTCTTATTAGGGTCTTGTTCTTCTACACACCTTAAAAAATATGAATATATACAATTTTAATAACTTTTTAATTTATAACACACCCTTTACTAATCACCATCAAAAATTAAAAATCAAATTTATGATTTAAAGTTAATTCAAGCACTATCATTTGTTCCTCTTACTTTCTCCATAAAACTTTAGCCATGCCATTCTATTTTCTTGGAATGGAAGTTTTCTCCCAATCTCTACACCAAATACTTTAGGTGCATTGCTTCTACCTTTTCAATTTAAAACATTCAACAAATTCACCAATAACCAAACAAGTTCCAAGTGCTCCAATAACTACGTGCAATCTCATAATCAAATTCCTTTACAAACCTACAAGTTAATTTCTAAATTAATAATTTCTATAAATATTCAAAAGTCAAGTTCAATTTCCTCTTACAAGTCTTTCAACAAACATCTTCTAAGCACCAATATTCAAGTTGTATATCTAAGCCATTCTCTTTCAATTTCACCTCAATAACTTCTTTGCATCAGCCATTTCAAATAGAATTAATTTAACTCCAAAATTATGACCCATATCTATATCACTACAAAGCCTTAAAGTCAAATTTTCAGCTCAAATTTAAACCTTCTTCTTGCAACGTACGGACAGCAACAAAATTCTTTCAAAGAACTCTATAATTTTAGCCATGAATATATATCATGATTAAGCTTTGAGATCAATTTCCAACTCAATATTGAGTTGTCCGTTCCCTAAAACAGTACAGCAATGATAGAGCAACCACAATCCCTGAAATTTTATGCACACACAGAGCAACGGCAGCCTCACGCACAGCAATAGCAACCAAAGATTTATAATTACCTTAATACCATTTCAACCACTCACACGCACGGACAGAGGAAGGAAAATGACCCTGAACAGCAAAGAAGAACTGCCGCCATGAATGAGAAAAAAATTAGCTCACCAGTAATCAAAAAACGAACCCAAAAGGAAGAGATCTTAGCTCACCCAGATCATTTATATGCACGCGAATAGGAAGCTAAGAGAAAGAGAGATTTGTCATGCTTAAATCAGCAACAGAGGAAGATGAACAGCAGCAACTCGTGAATAAAATCACAGCTGAGGCGAACGGATAAGCACAATATTGACAGCGACCACACAAATGATGGTGCTAGCTTCGGTGGAGGAGGAACAAGGTAGATTTGGTTGAAAGGTAGAGCAGAATATCGGTGCTCCTTAGATCTCTCTCTCTACTTTAGATTCATCGAGAAAGAAGAATGAAAGAGTTTAAGAAAAAGTCTGATGGAACTAAGGGCAATTTGGTAATTTTGCAAGACCAGAAAAGGAAAAAAATTTAACTCTTCTTTTGTACTCTTCTGGGTTCGAACTAGGGACCTGATGTATGAAGACTTGTTCAGCTGCCACTAGACCAAGTCTTTAACTTGTAATATTTATCCCAAGAACTAATATAAACACACTTTGAGCAAGTTAACTTATATATTATTTATTTATTTAAATTTAGTCAGGGTTATTACAAAATTTCAAGCTAACAGTTGAATTTTCCTAAAATTTGAGTTACAAGTAAAAATTTTTATAAGATTCATTTGGGCTTTAAAATCACCTCAATCGGATATCAAACAGAGAAATGATGCACTTCAAAATTTAGTTCAAAGGTGCTATAGTGATAGTAATTTAATGATGTCATAACAATGATAGTTGTTGAAGTTGCAATGTGCATAAGTTTTAATATGACTGTTAGATTTTTTTGAAATTTGGTGCACAAGTAATATACATTAAAAGTGACATGTGGGATTTTGAAACACTTTGATCAAAGATTGGATAGCGAAACGGTGCCTCTTAAAAGTTTGCCTAAAAGGGCTATCATGTTAGGAAAATTTATGCTATTATGATAGCAACTTTTTATCCTGGTTTCGCTTGGCATGCTTCTATGCATTATATGTAGAACCTTTAGACTTTTCTAAAAGGTTTTAAATATGTATTTTGCTATGGTGTATTTGTTTAGTGATTAAAATAGTTTGCCTTATAAATTATTTTTTGGATAAATTTCCTTAACGACACTTTGTTGCTTAATTGTGGTGTATTTCTAGATAACACCTGGGGCAAGTGTTACACCCTAGATTTCAAGGCGTGATAAAAAAAGTTAAGGGAAGAAGAAATTTGAGAGACTATATAGAATGTTTATAGAAAGTAGAAAGGACTGAGGTAAAGTAGTTGGATGCTTTATACTTTTATGTTTGGATAAAAATAAATGCATATATATATAACAAACAATAAGTCTAACATATTCTGAAAGTATAAAATGAAAAAAGGGAGAACAATTAACGCCACAAATTGTAAGAAAATCAATGATAATCTAAACGTGATGCTGTTGCCTATGCAAAAACATCCCTTTGATCTTGTTCAATGATACTACAACATCAATCATATTGCCACGTGCTTTTGGAAGATCAGTGCAACAATTCAAGGCCAATTCAAGAATAGAGGATGTAGATGTCAATATATTATTTATATGATGTTCATCTCCTTGCAATAAATTGGAATCCATGACTTGAATTATTGCATGAGGCATTGACTCACTTACCCAACTCTTTAACCTCAATCCTGACACAAACATATCTTCTGTTGGCCTTTTTCTTGTAAACACCTCTAATAGCATGATTCCATAGCTATACACATCTATTTTTGTTGAAACAACTCCAGAAGATCCATACTCTGCATATAATTGAATTCATGTAATAAAATATAACTAATGACTAAATAAGAATTTAGAAATAGGTTATGTTGTGTTGCCTAGTCATAGTCTTTGAATTTTTTAAATGTATATTTTATTAACCCTTAACATTGATAGGAAAATGTTATGATCATATGCAAATGAATTTTTATGTGGAAGAAACAAAGATACACACACACCCTTGCCCCCATATCATAGAATACATGTGTGCACATTTTAAAGTACACATTCATCTTAAAGTTATAATATTAATTAGCTTGAGAATTTTATGTACATATAAAAAGATCAAATTAAGCTAAGTTCAAGGACTGCAAAAGTCATAAAATAGCTCTTCCATTTTCTATTTGAATACAAGTCCCTATCTCATGAACAAGTGAGAAGGAAATATCCAAGAACATTTCTAAGGGACCAAGTTTGATGCATCGATAACTTTGATAAATTGTAGTTCATCAATTAAAAGACACATTTAATAATCAAATCAAATCAATATCATTAATGTGTTTTAAGAAGTCATATAGTATTTACCAAAAATATTAATTAATTGTTCATGCATTAATTTTATATAATATTGTTAATCTAAATAATTACTAACAATAAATATAATAAGCTTTTATGAATATAATATGTTAAAGATATATATTGTTAGAATGTAAAAGAAGAAGAAGAAAGTGAGACACTATGCTTAGAATAATTACCAGGTGCCACATAGCCAATAGTAGGTATTGTCTCTGTGAATATCTTAGATTCCTCTTTATCTAAAAGTTTAGAAATTCCAAAGTCACTCACATGAGCAACCATTTCATCATCCAATAAAATGTTGCTTGGCTTTAAATCACAATGAACAATTGGTGTTAACAAGCCATGATGGAGATATTCTAAAGCAGTTGCAACATTTATCATTATATTCAACCTTTGAAGAAAATCTAAAAAATAGTTGTAAGAATATAACCATCTTTCCAGACTCCCATTGGGCATGAACTCCATTACCAAAGATTTGAAATCAACATTCGAACAACAGCTTATAACCTTCACCAAATTGCGATGGCGTGCATTACATAATATGTCACATTCCTTTTCAAAGCTCCTTAACATTACTTGTGAATCACAATTGAAGATCTTAACTGCAACGATCATTCCATTGGAAAGCGTTCCTTTAAACACAGAACCATAACTACCCCTTCCAAGTATGCTACTCTCATCAAATCTATTGGTTGCTTCTTGGATTTCAAAATAAGAAATTCTTCTCGGCACTCCTAAAGTTGATAGTTCCCTTTCAACTAGACCCCTTGAATTTTGTTGTTGTTTATGTCTTAAAAGCATAATGCCTAAGACAACCAAAATTATTGATACAACTATGGGTAATATGCATCTCAATAAAAGCAATATTGTCATTGATCCTTTTCTTGTTTCTTTTTTGCAGGGAGGCACTTGGAGTTGCGGCTTGCCACAAAGAGCTTGATTCATCATAAAAGATTCAGGAGTCAAATTTTTAAAAACTCCTCTACTTGGAATCTCTCCTTGGAGTTTGTTATAGGAGAGATTAACATACTTAAGATAAATAAGTAACTCCAAAGATTTAGGAATCTTCCCAGATAAATTATTATCAGAAAGGTCCAATTTTATTAAGCTCAACATATTTCCGAATGATTTAGGAATATTTCCTTGCAAATTGTTATGTGCTAGGGAAAGATCTTGCAAATTCTTCAAGCCACCCAAAGTTGCTGGAATAATGCCTGAAATATGATTTCTTGACAAATCTAGTAACACAAGAGCATTCAAGTTTCCAATCTTCAATGATACATTTCCACCTAAAATATTGGAAGATAAGTTTACTCTCAATATATCCTTCAAATTCCAAAATGAAGGAGGTATTTTTGAAATTAACTTATTAGAGTCTAAGTAAAGGTCTCGTAAAGAGGTAACATTTGCTAAACAAGGGGGTATTCCTCCAGAAAACTTGTTTCTACTTAAAGATAAATAGGCAAGCTTTGTGATATAACAAATCTCATCAATGATTAGGCCATGTAGCTCATTGCCTTCAAGATTCAAATATTGAAGATCTAATAAGGTACCAATTGCTTTTGGAATTGATCCTCTCAATATGTTTTCTCCCAAGGATAGTTCAAAGAAACTAGTGAGATTCCCAAATTTTGATGGAAGATTGCCAGATATAAAATTGCTTTCAAGGTTTAAGAATTTCAAAGTTGAAATGTTAAAAATGGTCAATGGTATAGAACCGCTCAACTTGTTAGATGACAATTCTAAGAATTCAAGCTTATGAAGATTGCCTATTTCCATAGGTATTAAACCTGTATTAAAAAAAGATTAGTTTTAGTAAAGTTATCTAAAGTGAATACTAAAAATAGTGGATAAGACAAATGTCAAATTAATGAGATGTATGATTGTTGATAATCCTTTATATGTTAGCTTGCAGAGGTATTTTTTTAACTAGATTTTGCCTTTCTGTTCATATATATTAACAAGGTGGATATTTATCTTTTACATATATCCTTTAAATTAATTTTATAAATATAATTCAATTTTTTAAAAAATAATTCTGTTAGAAACAATGATAAGAAATTTTTATTTATTCGTATCATTCAAAAAGTTGAACATTTTAATCTAAATATAAAAATTAATTCAATCATATTCTCAAGATTTTGTTGTCTCAAATGTGCATCCACTGCACCATTTAATGGTTAAGATTGAGAAAACTTATTATATTTAATAAGTTTAAATTTTCAATTTCAACTATCACAATCTGTCATGAAATATCTTTGCAATGTGGCAACAAACAAGTAAAAAATAAAAAAATGGAATTATATATAATTTATTAAATTGTTAAAACATATCTAAGAATTTTTAGGTTTGTAAGATTACCAATTTTATTAGGAATATTTCTTGTAATTTAGCAACAGATAAAATAAACATGACAATGCTATGAGTTGTTGGATGAATACCTTCCAAGTTATTGGAATACAGATTTAGCAATTGAAGCATAGTCAAATTCCTGATGCTTTTGGGTATATGGCCTGAAAGAAGATTGACATTTATAGATATAAGGGACTCATTAGTTAAAACACAGATTGTCTAATTATTTTTAAGCACGCTCCAACTTTGATTGATATTGCATTCAACATCGTTACTGCATGATTGCTCTTTCTTAGATCTCCCCCGGTAAAGCTGGCTTTCTAAAGTAAATAGCTACTTGTAACATATTCTAGTTACCACTAGTTATCAACAACATAACAGTTGAAGAATTAATCCAATGCAAAAGACATTATTTGAAAAAGCTTTTTACTCACAAATATAAATTTATTATGATAGCCTGTAGTGCAATAATAATAACATACTTCCACATATTCCTATATAAAATATTTCCAACCTTTTGACTTACTTTAAAATAGGTTATTACATTGTTAACCTTGTTAGAAATCCAAAGACTCCAATTTTATCATATTTCAACTAATGGAATGATTCTAGAATATACAAATAATTTTTAGAAAAATAATTCTCATTGGGCTTTTTGTCTCGGCCCAACTCCAACAGCCAAATGTTCTGTTACGATATGGCATATGGTGTCAAAAGTAATACTCCATGATGACGATGAGGTACATTGTGTGACAATAAGAACTAGTTGTTAGCTAAACTAATCAAGTGTTTAATGTAGATGTGGAAGTGGGAAAGATCACAGCATTGTTAGAATGTAAAAAAAAATCTCACATCTAAAGATTAAAAAATAATTCATGATATATAAAGCTTAGGAAGTATTTAACCAAATGGCTTAAGTTATTTTGGTAGAGTATACTATACTTGAGCATACTTAATATGATAAATAAATCTAACATGGTATCGTAAGCCATTCGATTGGGGGAAAAATGAAAGGGAAAAAAAAAGGAAAAGAAGTGAAAGAAATGAAAGATGAAAAAAAAATACAAGATATTTAAAAAAAAAAGAAAAGAAAAGAGAGAAAAGAAGAAAAGGAGAAGAAATTGAATAGACCTGAGGCCTCTAAGACTAAAGAAAAGTACAAGCCCAAGCAAGAAAAAAAAATAAAAAAAAAAGAGAGAGAGAAAAAAAGTAGAGAGAATATTAAAGTGTAAAAAGAAATCTCACATTTAAAGATTAGAAAATAGATCACGATATATAAAGCTAAGGAAGTATTTAATCAAATGGCTTAAACTATTTTGGTAAAGTATACTATCCTTGAACATACTTAATATGATAAATCTAACAAGCATGGAGCTCACCCTAGGACAACTTAACATGGCATCACAATTTTTAGTATCTAAGATCATAATTTTAAAATTTCCATGATCTCGGCAGATTTTTTTAGGAATATCTCCAACAATAGAGTAAAATAACACAAATGAAAAAATGAAAATGAAACTAAAAAACTTAATATATTTATTTAAAATGATGCATATAAAAATCACTTGAAGTGGGTAGTAAAACGCATAGGGTATTGAGCTTTTGCTTATTTAATTTCTTATTTTTCTTAAAACAAGTTTTTCAAAGGCCATTTATTTTTTTTTTTATGAATATAATATAATATAATTGATTAGTCATAAAATGAATTTCATTTACATAAAAATAAAAATAAAAAGTGTCTCTCCTCCACTCTTTCTCTCTCTTTATTTCTTTTTTAATTTTTATAACTCAAAAGAGAAGGCTTCGCCAATGGCAAGACTATCTCTCCGAAGGTACTGAGAATAAAAAGCAAACCTCTCATAATTAAATTGCTATACACACAAGAGTTGAGATTTGAACCTCTAACCATTTGTTTAAATTACAACAACCCCAACCACTTAGTTATCACTTCGTTGAACCCATTTTATTTAGAAGATATGGAGCTGTTTTGCAAACAAAATAACATTAAATGCAAATTTATTTGGGTCCCATTTGTTTAAGATTAAAAAAATGATTTTTAAATAGTTTAGAGATTTTATAAAAGGTCAATTTATTTAGGGCCATTTCTTTAAGATTAAATATAAGTGATTTTTAGATAGTTTAGAGATTATATAAAAAGCAAAAATTATTTTATATTTGGTTATAATAATAAAATAGTGATTATTAGTTTTAAATTTTATAATTTTTTATAAAAATAATTTATTATTAATTGTTTTAAAATTTTATGATATCTTTGCATATCCTGCGTTGTTAAAACATTCTCTCTCTTCTACAATAACAGATTATTTTCAGAAGATATTCAAAATGGTTTCTTGAAATAATCATAACTCTGATTTTTTCATATTCTAATTACTTTTAAAATTTTAAACAAATATCAGAAAAAGTAACAAAATAGACTCTCTTTTTCCAGAAAATAAGTTTATTTTTCATTAAAAAAATGAGACAAATGGGCTCTTAAACTTTTCTTTCTTAAAAATAACTTATTTTTTGAAATAATCTATTTTGTGAAATTTTATTATGTTTATTTGAAATTTTTAAAATAATTACAATCTGAAAAAAAAAGTATATTTCTAATTATTTTAAAACGTTACTTTGAATAGCTTCTTAAAATGATATGATCCAATAGTTGAGACTGAATGACATAAAAATGTGGACATACATGGAGATATTATAAAATTTTAAAAAAAACTAAACGACAAATTTTTTTACAAATATAGATCCATAAAGATATCATAAAATCTAAAAACAGATAAATAACTATCATTTTTATTATTGTAATAAAATAATAAATTATTTTTATAAAATATTTTAAAGATAAATCCATTTTTATAAATATTAAACTATCTAAAAATTACTTATTTTTTAATCTTAAACAAATAGCCAAAAAAAAAAGAATATAGATGCACTTGAAACTTTTCCCCGGATACACTCCCTTAAAATATAAGAAATTTGTGTAAAGACAACAAATCAAAATACTCTTCTAAAAGTTGTCTTCACAAAATAAAGTAAATATTTTGTACCAAAGAGTAAAATGAAAATAAAAATTGAAAAATTAATAGTAGCAATTATATATAATCTATCGAACTGTCAAAACATACCTACAATTGAGATACTTTTCAAACTCTAAATGATGACCCAGATGCAATAAGGCAGAAAGAATAACCAAATCGCTAACATGTTCCCTCCCATTATCAAAACTATAGTCAATTACTAAACTATAGTTTTGGGATCTGGATGCTTGACCTTTATTTGGCATATTAGAGTTTGATTGCAATTTTAGAAACATTAATGCATATAAATACCAAACTCTGAAGCACAACGTTAGTATGTTGAAGTCGATCCAATAGGGTCTTACTTTCTCATATATATATATATATATATATGAGGGAGAGTGGAACATGAAAACGAGGTGGTAGGTTGTGAAGCCCGACAAAAGCCATTATAAGAAAAAGCAGAATTTATATTTAATAAAAAATAATACCCAATTTTTATTTACCTTATATTTCTTTCCAAAATATGTTTGACATGGGCCCCTGAGTTGTTGTTTATATTTATAAATATAAAACTTAATTTGTTGATAAGGATTTTTGTTTAAATGAAAATTAAGGAAGTCCAAGTTGTTGAATGGTTTTGATCAACACCAATGTCCAATACATAAAAGTGCAATCAAAATATATTTGGTAAGATTGAATTTAGAGATTTGGCATGTGGGCAGTACATACCTGTGAATAAGTTGAGTTCTAATGTTAACTCTTTGAGCTGCTTGCATTGTGTCCAACCAGATGGTATAGCTCCAAATAATTTGTTGGCTTGAAGATGCAAAGCTTGTAAATTTGGAAGGCCATGACATATATTTGAAGGAATGCCTCCCAACAAATTATTCCAACTTAAATCAATCTCTTGCAGCTCAGATATGTTAAAGATAGTAGATGATATTTGGCCAGAAAACTGATTACGTCCTAAATATAGAAGTTTCAGACTTTTAAGATTACCAATCTGCTCAGGAATACCTCCTACAATGTTATATATAGTGTAATCCATCAAAATCCAGCCTTGAAGTTGGAAACAAAAGAGGGAAGGAAAATGATAATGTAGCTAATGAAACTATTGATAACTTATTCTTCCTTAATTTCAGAATTAGGATAACGTACACGAAGTATAAAAGCCAATTTGCTACCCTTGGATCTCTCATTAGTTCACCCCGATATTGGCATTTGCCCATATTGAATTAAATATTTTAACTAAAAAAGTTGACGTTTCAAAATAAGAAAGAGAAAAGCTTATAATGCTCATGGACCCCAAATATGAAGTTGCAAATTTGTTATAATGTTGTTTCAAATAAATTATATCTTAACAATTTTTGTTCCGTGCAAATGGCAATTAAAGCTAATAGACCACAATAATTTTATTAGCACAATTACGATCAAAGTGGTAATATTCAAAGGTAACTCATTTTATATATAATAACTAATTGCATAGTCAGCATATATATCACTTGTATTTATAGATTTTGATTATTGGATTTTGGAATATATAAATCCTACATTGTCAAGGAAGATAGGCATTGAAATTCACGTATTTAATTTTTTTGGGGTCAAATCACATATTCAATTTTATATAAAAGGAGTTTTTCAATGTGGTATTATTCATTATTTGGCAAACAAAAGACTATGGAGTTAAGTAGTCCACTTAAACTTGCTTTTACGTCTTGCCAAAAAAAAAAAAAACCATTTTTAACTCGATTAAACAAGTATGATATATGATAATGACGGGACGCTTATAGTACTTCAACATTAATATGAAATGTGTGTGTGTGTGTGTAAGCGCATTTCGGATATTATCTCCAATATGAATTTCTAAGGACGGTCTATATAATAATTATGTAAAGCATAATTTTCAACAAATTCACCTATATAAATTTACATCTACATAAAACAAATCAAAATCATAAATTAGTAAACAAGTTGAAGAATTAACTTATAGGGCATTGGCTTAGACTCATTTTAAGGAGTCCAAGTTAAAATTATAAAGATGTTTGTAGCAAAGAAAATGAATCTATAAATAAACCAAAACATATATTTTTTCATGAAAAATTCTTCCAAAAAATTGGTTCCCCAAATAAGAAGAGGTGTGCCCTAGCTAGCATCACTAGAAATAGAAAATAACTAAAGCGTTATTTTTATGCATAAAGAATTATTGAAATAAGAAATTCATGAATACACAAACTTTTATAAAATTAAAGGTGAAAATGAAAAATAAATTGCATCTTGTTCATAGTAATTATAAGAAAATAATCTAAATAAAAAAAATTTCTACTTAGAACATCATAATTTGAAGAAAAATGAACTTAAATACTTCAAAAGAGAAGACATCCCAACCACCAACATCATTAAAATTAGCAATAACTAAGATCATGAATTCATAATGTAATATCTAGTAGATTAGTTATCAGAAAATTGATTGTGATGATTTTCATTAAACTTTGTGAAAAAAAAAAAAACGTGCGGCTGTAACACTCCACACTTGCGTCGACTCTTCAATAAATGTATATAGAATGAATGTGAACTCCAGAATTCATCTCACACAAAATGATTATATAGAAACAAAATTTGAAACAAAATTTATGCACGGCACTAATATATGATTATAGCACTTATTGCTATATCAACATTAAAATTGGTAAAATTATAGGGAATAAAGTTCTATATTTTCCATTTTTTAATATTCATTTACCATTTAAAGGGAACAAGTGAGTTGGAGACCTCATATTTTAATATTGATGTTGATATTTAATACTATCACCCAATAAGTACATTTCAACTCTAATATTAATTAATTGTATTTTGACCAGAAAGACAATGTTATTCATGGTATTAAAGAATAAAATTTGGTAGCAAATCCTTTTTTTCTGGCTCCAAGTGGAGCTTTCTTTCTCTGTTCCAAACAAACACAATGTTCCACAAGACCTCCTAACTAGCATCCCTAAAATTAAAAATAACTAAATACTTATTTTTATGCATAAAGATTTGTGGGAAAAGAAAATTTAACGCAGACAAATTTATAAACAAAAGGAAAATAGGAACAGAAAATACATTGTTTTTCATACCAATAATGAGGATTAAATATAAAAAACAATCAACTATAGCTAGAACATTATAAATTGAAGAAAAATTACCTTGTAAATTATTTTAATCAAGATGTAAATCTTGAAGGAAAGTGGAAATGTTTTAAAATTTGGCTCTTTTTTTTTTGGGCTGTTTGAAGGAATGCATAAAACTTTTTACCTCTATATCCTATGTAATTCATTCAAACAATTATTCTAGCATTTTTTAAGTGGTTGAATTGATCTGCAAATATTTTTATGGTAAATTTTTTCTGATAAAAATAATTTTGGTGAATATAAATTATTTTGGAAAGCCATATTATTTAGCTTTGGATGGTGTGACTATTAAATTTAATGCAACAAACTAGCCAACATCTAATTTAAATTTCTGTAAAAAATATAAATTTATTCAAAAAAATTTAATTTATAAAGGTTTTAAAACTAATATGCATCGGTGAAAAACCTAAAGTTAGCTTAAATGGTAACTGGTAAGGATAGGTGGAGTATGAGTAGCTAGAGGTAAAGGGTTTAAACCAATATAATGAATAAGGAAATTAATAAAAGAAGATTTAATTAAAAATTGAAAACTGTTTATATTTATCAAATAAACATATAATTATGATTATAAAATAGCTTTTGAAATTGTTAAGACTAGTAAAGAATTGAATAGAGAGAATAGTGGTTTAACAAAGAGAAGAAAATGAAGAAGATTATGATTGAAAAATCAAACAAGCACTAAAAAAAAAAAAAAAGACTTTTGCAGCAACTCAAAGGTCTACTTTTAGTGACGACAATTAGAAGTTGTCACTGAAAGTAGACCTTCAAAGTATATTTTTAGCATTGACTTTTATTTTGAATAAAAATATATAAAAAATTAAAAATAATTTATGTAATTACTTTTAGTGGTGAAAATAGTCGCCGCCAAAAAAATTTTCATAAAAATAATTAAAAAATTAAAAATAATTTATTTAATTACTTTTCATAGCTACAGTTTGTCACCACTAAAATTTTTTTCATAAAAATAATTAAAAAATAAAAAATTTTAAAAAATATTTTTATAAACATTAAGTTACATAATTACTTTTAGCAGAAAAATTTGTTACTACTAAAGGTATTTAAATATAAAATAAGAAATAAATAATATTAGAATGTTAACATTATATATAAATACTTACTTACTTATATATATACATATACACACACACATAAATAGCATTAGAATGTTAAGGTTGTATAGATGCTGTAAAATTCAAATGGCATGATAGACTACTTGACACATTATGCACTTGATACTTGACTTGGTCTACACATGATGTCTACTCCATTTGCTGAACTCTACTTTTCATTATCACATAATTATTTAAATAAGACACTCCATATTTGATGCTCATTTAAAATAAGAAACAAATGAAATAGGTGGAGAGTACTTGAAGGTTTTTTGAATTATAGATGAAATTATGTATAAACTTATTAAAATTTATTTATTTTAAATTCTAAAGTTATTGGAAAGTATTCCCTATTATCTTTAGATTGACTCTATTAAAGAGAATTTAGTAGAAGTCCAAACTAATTTAGATTAAGTCAAGCCAAGATTCCTTTCATTTTGATTATGAAATAGCCACTTAGATTTTAATTTGGATTTTTTTGTTGAGGATCTACTTTTAGTTTATCACATGTCCACCCATTTCCTATCTTGAGGATAATAAAGAATAATTGTTCAAAATGACTATTACCAAATTTATATGATTAAAATAATTTTTATTAAAATTTTTTAAGATAATTGAAAAATTGTAGATAAATTTTTTTGATAAAACAAGGGGAAGCATTTTAACTTGAGAGAAGATAAAAGTTAAATAATTTATTTTTTAATTTTTGTGAAAAATATGGAAAAAAAGTAGAAGATATTTAACATAAACTAATATTAGACATACTTATGAATAAATTATATACGTAATTATTTTTATTTAAAATTTAAAATGAAATTTAAAAATTGTTAAAATTGTTTATAAGAAAATTATTTAATATTTAAAAATTATTTTATTGTAAGTTCATTTTCCTAAAAAAATAATATTTTATTCAAAATATAATATATACATTCATAGAAATTATTTTAACATATTAATAAATGAAAATAAAATAAAACATATATATATATATATTTTAATAATATATTTTTTGATATGTGTGTATGTAGTTAAATGATATATATTTATTTTTGCATATAATAACTGCAGGTACATTTCAGTTCAACTAGCAAAAAAGGAGGACTTAATGCTTAAGAGGTGGATGTCAAGTACTCAAATCGTAGCTTAAGCATATTTCACAATGAATATGTGACATGACATGTGGTGATGATGTGGCCTAATGTGGCACAATTTATCAAGGAATGTAGCATAATGTGGTGCATACATGGCGGGGTGACACAGCATGTGCTGTGGCATGAGGAGGTGCACATGTGGCAAGTGATGTAGCATAAGGTGTCAATTGATTTGGCATGAGGAGGCATTGATGTGGCATGAGATGCCTTTTTTTTTTTTTAATGACTTTTGTCTCCACTAAAGGTTTTTGGTGGTGATTTTTCACTATCAAAGGGCCATCACCAAAAGGTTAGTCGCTAATAGTTTTTTGCAACAAACATAATCACCACCAAAATTATACCTTTAGTGACGAAAAACTTTTGGCGGTGCTAAAGGTATACTTTTGGTGGCAATTATGCTTGTTGTCATCAAAAATTATTGGTAACCAAACTTTTGATAGCGACCCTTTGGTAGTGAAGAGTCACCACTAAAGGTTTTTAGAGGCAACTTTTGAAATTTTGGTGGCAATTTTTTGTTGCCACCAAAAGTCTTTCCTTGTTTTTTTTTTCCTTTTTTGTAGTGATGATAATCCCTCACTTGAAGGATTTACACCAAACTTCAAAACCACTTTGAGGTGAAACAATAAGGTGAGGACCAAGGTAACCTCCCTCTTGAGAAAGGAATCAACCTTCCTAACTTCTATTGAAGTGTGGTGCCTTTTATATAAATTTTAGGGTCATCAACAACTAAATGGTTAACACTAGTCACTCAATATTCTAATATTCCAATGTAAATTATTAATAACTTATTCTTTAATTTTAGAATTAGGATATTGTAAAGAAAGTATAAAGCTAATTTGAGACCCTTTTTTGGCTCTCCTATTAATAAATTTGCCCTCAATATTGGCCTTTTCTAATAATGAATTTAATATTTTAACTAAAATAAGTTTATGTAAAAGAAAGTTAAAAAATAAAAAGAGAAAATGTTAAAACAAACATTCTTGGAGCCCAAGTTTCAAATAAAATTATAACAACTTTTGCTCCGTGCAGTACGTAGTGTTGGCAAATGAAAGGTAGAGGCTATGTATATTAAACTGAAAATAATATATGAAAAGACTGAAATAATTTTCCCAGTACAATGGCAGTTAGAGATGTATTTCATAATCAAAATATATATGTCATATGTATATTTAAATTTTGATTATTTCTTTTTATATACAGAAATCCTTCATTGTCAACCAAAATCAGCATTGAAATTCACATATTAATTTTTTTAAATCACATACTCTATTTTAGATTAATGGAATTTCTCAAGATGGTGACACTAACAGACTTCAACATTAATATGTGTGTGTGTGTGTAAACACGTTTTCAATATTATCTCTCCAATATGAAATTCTAATGAGGGTCTATATAATATTTATGTAAAACATAACTATCATCAAATTCGCATATTTAAATTTAAATCTACCATAAAACAAATCAGAATCATAAATTTAATAAACAAGTTGAATAATTAACTTGTTTGTAGGGCATAGGCTAAGAGTCATTTTAAGGAGTCCAAGTTAAAATTATAACAATGTTTGAAGCAAACAAAAAGATTCTACAAGTCAACAAAAAAATTTAACTTCAGACAACCTTTATAAAAAAAATTATATATTCAACATTATCACACAATTCTTCTTTGATTTGCCCCAAAATTTAGCATTCTAAACAAGCAATGAGGGAAAGAGAAGTCTGGTATTAAAAAAAAGTGATGATATGGAAAACAAAAAGGGAATTGTTTACAAGAACAAAGACAAAACAACTCATAATCGATTAGTTCAATAGCTCTAATCTCTCTATGAAGAGAATTAAAAGAAAAAACATTCATCAAAATAAGTGCCAAATAAAGAAGAAAATTAAAAAGCTATCAAGAGACTCAAAAGAAAAGAGCACGCATGGGGTTGGAAGGGCAAGTCTTTATAGAATTAAGAATAATATTATTTTCTTACCTCTGTTTTATTGCCCAAAAACCAAAGGCAAACAGAGTAACACTTCTCTATTTGATGGGCATCAAAGTGTAGCAAATTTCACAACACAATTATTGTGCATGTGAACCACAAATCTGAATATGTAGTAGGGATCTAAAGGATAAAGATCAAAGATAATGAAGATATAAATGTACATAATGGTTTCCATATTGCTTTCAAGAGCACCAAAACTCCAACAGGTAGAAAAGCAAGACAAAGAAAACCATGAGCACTGCTGTGACTGGGTTCATATTTTTAAATTTATCAGATCACACATTTCCTTAGCATTATTGCTTGGGATATGATTAAAAAATCCAAATGTAGAAGGACAAAAGAAAAAACAAATGTTTCTAATAAAGGTGCTGACAAATTTATTTAAAAAGCTAGAAAATATTAATTAAAATCTAAGGCCATTATTTTCGTACTCGTAAGATCACAAATTGTTTTGGGAATATCTCCTCCGTACATGACAACATAAAAACACATCATTAAGAGTGATAGTGCACTATAAATCGTCCGGATGCAATTCACATTATAGTCATCCTACATGGACAGTGAGGGATATTTTTGGCGGGAATGAATTAATCAAAGAACATATATTTTGTTTAAAAATACTTAAATATCACAAATATTAAGTAAATCATGATTTCATAACGTAATAATTTATTTGTAGAGTTATTAGAACTTTTTGCCATGATGCATAATAAACATATGAAAAAAAAAATTGTTTTTTCACATGTGCTGAACCTTTTCAAGACATTTTACATAGATTGAAATATGAACTAAAGAATTAATCGCATGCAAAATGATTATAAAGAAATAAAGTTTTACACAATACTCCAAGTCACCAATATACAACAACAGCATTTAATTAAATTTGGTAAAACAGTAGATATTGAAGTTCTATATTTTTCTATTTTTTAAACAGTAGATGGAGACTTCATATTTTAATATAGATGTGGATATTAATATTGTCACTCTGTAAATACGTTTTAACTGTAATATATTAATTAACTACATTTAGACTATACATGCAAATCCATTTTCATTGCTCCAAATGGAGCTTCATCTATTCCAAAAAAACAAAATACTTCACACAACATCCTAAACAGCATTTCTAAAATTATTAGAAAAGAAAAAAAAAACATTTGGGCAACCAAAACTAAAGAATTATTTTTATGTTTCAAGAATTGTTAAAAAGAAATTTTCACTCAAACACAAATTTATAAATAAAAAAAGTTTGAAAAGAAAATGCGTTGTTGTTCACAGTAATACTAAGAAAACAACTGAAGTGTGAAAAAACTATAGTAGCTAGAATATCATGATTTGATGAAAAATTACCTCGTAAATTATTAAAAGAAAGATATAGCTCTTGAAGCAAATCCAGTTTTCCAATACCTTCTGGTATATCACCTACAAAAAATAAAAATTTAACACTTAGCGATATAGAATTCAAATTGGTCACGGATATATGTATTGAGAAAGATGGCTTAATCCTACAAGTGTCCATATATGATGAATCATTTTTTCCAAATCTAACTTGTGGACCCTTTTTCTAGTTGCCGGCCCATGTATATTTATATATATGATGAGATAGCAATTGAATGAAATTCTCCTTCCTTATTTGTATTTTGCATCAAAAATTATGTTTCATATAAATGCCGATACATACTGCCACATTAATCAATCTATACGGCCCACAAACCTGCAAAAACAATTACAAGATCCAAAGCTGCTAGTTCCTCTTATGCATTAATTAAGGGGAAAAAATTTTTACACTTTAGACATGTCCTTACCACCGTCACTTACAAGAAAAATAATTAATGGTTACTTTTAGATAATCATTTAAATTTAAAACCAAAATTTCACAAAATACTTTGAACCTACAAGTAAGTAAACGAATGAGATGAAGGTTAAGACTCTAAAATGACATCTTATACAAGTCTGTGAACAATTACCAAAAATACCATATATTAAGAGAGTAAGATATTGAAAGAATTACATCTAAGCCGCGAATAAGGATACAATCAGTCAAAACCCTAACACATGCAAAATTATAAGTAACATATTCAGCACTAATTGTTTGAACAATTTTAAGTCAAAACTTAGTTTTACTAAGGTCTAAGCACATGAAGTTTTGTCAAGTTTCCAGTAAAAAATGGTTATGCTGCCTTCTTAATCAATAAAAGTATCTTAGAATTTTTGATGAACTATTTTCTACATAGTTAAAATTAAAATTAAGGTGTATATTTTTAAAATTACAGCGTGGCTCAGTAATATTAATAAAATTAAAGATAAATGAATATTTTTACACTAAAAATGAATCATAAATAATATGAAAAATTTTCTAAATATATATAATCACAAAACATTTTCGATAAAAATTACATATATAAATAAATTTACAAGTGCTAACAATAATTATTATATGAAAAATGGGTGAAAATGGTATATAATATATATATACTATTATATAAAAATACGAATAAAGTATTAACTTCGTTGGATTTATATCATGGTCACTCCTAAATCATTAAAATGTCAGTTGTTTTTATATTTATTTACAATTTTTTTATTGAAGTACGTAGTTTTGTAAAGTTAATATGTTTTTTTTTATATGTATTTGCAGTTTTAGTTTTATATTATTATGTACTACCAATTATCTAATAGCGTTCCTCTGAAATCATAAAATTAGTAAATTATTGTTAAAAATATCAATAGTTTAATTAGTTAATTTATATGCATCATATGTTTGATCTATTTCAGTGATTGGCATATATATATGATATAGCTTGAGCTTGTTCTTTTGGTGAAGATTAATTCTTGTTCATATAAAGCCCAATATATGTCATACTGCAACTCTAATAATTCTGTAAAGCTCACGAACACACAACAATAATTGTAAAACTCAAAACTAGATGCTCTCAACTCAAACAATATTAGGCCAACTCCAATCAGAAGTTGGTCCTATACCAACTTATTAAATGTTTCCTGATTTTAAATATATTAAATGATTGGTATTTTTGAAAGTTTATAATTTTATTTCAGAAGGATAAGATTATTAAGTATATTTAACGAGGTTTATTGGTATGTAAGATTTTGTCTAAAAGTGTCTTATAATTTAGAACAAAGAAAGTACATATATATTAAGACACTTGAGACATGTTTCCTCATTTTCCCTGATTTTTATAGAACCCTTTTTTTTTAATTCATCGGTGGATCCTCCCTTCGCTCCTATTTGCTAATTCCTATATGTGAAATAATGAGCAGAATTGACTACGGTTGATAAGTAACAAAATTGGAAAAATCAACTTTGGATAAGATGTTAGACCGTCCAAATTTTTCTTTCTATTCACATATTAACATTATAGATTTTTTGAATTTTTAATCTCTTGAAATTCTTGTAATTAACTAAGTGAAAACAATCAGAAAGAGTGAAATAGTTTGGATACGTGAAAATGTGATATACTTTAAAATATTTAATCAAATATTTAACCAAAATTTTAATTATAAAATTTGATATAATTTAAAATATTTAATCTAAATATATTATGTCATTGAGATTTATGAGGCTGAAATAGAGTCTTTTTAAGGGGAAACAATGGTAAGACCACAAACATGACAATAGTATTATCAATTTCAAATTTTAAAAATTATAAACTAACTTTTTATATAATTCTGGGGTTCGGATTCTCTTATAATCCCCTTTCTTCTTTTGTTCTTCTCATCACATCTACACCCTTGGATAATAAAAATTAACACAAAATTGATGAAAAGTGTCACATTATGATTAGTTGAAAGTATACCTTTTATGTTATTTTCACCCAGTTGTAGATGTTGAAGTTTTGTCAAGTTTCCAATATTCCTTGGTATTTGGCCAGACAACTTGTTAGCACCTAGATATAGTATTTTCAGGTTTGTGAGAGCACCAATTGCTTTGGGAATATCTCCTACGATATGATAATAAAGAAAATGCAACATTATTATGAGTTCTCTTGTATAAGACAATTATGGAAAAATAAAAATAAATAATAAATATAATTTTATGAATGCTTTTTTTTGAAGTTATTTTGATTATGATATAATAAATATTGAATTTGTATTTAAAAGAAACCAGAAAATAATAAAAGCTTGAAACCAAACAAAAATCTTTTATATGTAACCGCTAATTTGAGCTCTTTTCAATATCAATTATCAACCAAATATTATTGGACAAAACAATTCATTAGCACAAATATACAAATTTTGAAATTGCACTCATTTGTCATGGTGCATAAATGATTAGATAAAAATAAAAAGTGCACTGTTTTGTTGTGTTTTTCCTGCATTTTTTGAATGGCTTCTTTTGAAGTTATTCTAAACAGGTTATAACTCTTGAATTTGTACTGAAAAGAAAGCCTAAGAAAAAAAAAAAAGAAAAAAGATAGAGCTCTTGAACCCAATAGGGGGGAAAATAAAAAAGAAAATCGATGTATCTTGATAAAGAATGCGTGAGACATGTCCTAACAATATGCAAATTCCTGACGCAAGCTTTTAATGTTATAAAAAAACATATTAGTAATAATTTATAAACTACAGAAGGAACTCTGTAAAATGTGTAACGTAAAAAAATTGTTAGCAGTTAAAGGATTTAAAAGAACATTTGACAATATATCTTTCTCAAGTAAGAACATTTTATTATCACCAATAATATATAATTAAAAATAACAATTAAAGAATTATCAAATATATTAATTTGCTCAGGTGAAGTTAACTTGAATAGGGAAGGATACATCTGCAAAGCTGATTTTATGAAATTTATTCTGACCAACATAAGTGAAAAATTTACGTCCAAGAAGATTAATTGCACTTGATAATAAGGCATATTATCAAGCAGAAATATACATTAAAATTAAGCAAAATCATTTCCAAATAGAAAATTAATTTATATCATTGAAAATGAAAGAAATGCTAAGAACACATTAATTATTAAGACATACCTGTTAAGGAGTTGAAAGACAAAGACAATAACTCAAGTGAGGATAAGTTAGAAATAGTTAGGGGTATTCTTCCTGAAAGCTTGTTTCTTGCAATCCGTAAAATCTTCAAACTTTGAAGTTTTCCAATCTCAGATGGAATAACTCCTTCAATAAAGTTATAATTCCAATCCAAAGTCTCTAACTTTGACAAGTTGGATATGCTTTTAGGAATAAAACCTCCAAAACTATTATTATGGAGATGGAAGTGTTGAAGCATAAATAAGCTTCCAATCCAAGTTGGGATTCCTCCATTGAATTCATTGTAGCTCAAATTGAGAATTTGCAGCTTGTGTAATTGGGTCAACTCCTTTGGCAACTCACCATAAAGGTTATTACTATGAAGGTCAAGTTCAACTAGGAAAGACAAATTCCCAATTTTTGAGGGCAAAGTTCCCTTGAGACCCATCTCACCAAGATTCAAGGCCATTACTCTCACATGGTGAGCATCACACATAACCCCAACCCAATTGCAAATGGAAGAAGAGTTGGACCAATTAGCCAAGTGATTGTAAGGGTCCTTGACAGAAAACTTGAAAGCAAGTAGTGCCAATTCATCATTCATAGTAAGATCGGTGTGGCATAAAGTGAAACAAACCTTGAGACAAAGTAGGGAGAACATGAGCAAGGGGAAATGAAAACAAAGATTTGCCATGTTGGATAGGTTCATGGCTTCTTAGATCGATGAAGTGGTTAGGAGAAGAAGGTTGTACTATATATATGCGCGCTTAGAAATTCATAAGCACACATTTTAAAGAGGATTGATGATTATATATGCATTTAAAACTGTGGATCAATGGTTGAAATTTCTCAACAGGTGACATTCCCTACCTCTGTATTAACCAGTAGCCACCACTAGTCATAATCTTGGGATGGTGGGGCCTGCACTGAAGTTTGGAAATTAGACTGTATTGGCATATTCTTCAGTTTGTTGGAAATAAGGATTTGATACTAGAAATAAAAATTGAATTTAACACGGAGATATCAATGGAAGGAAATGGTTTTTATTTTATTTTACATAACATATATATATACATATATATATAAAAACTTACATAACTACAAAAAGTCCACGCCCAAAAAAATTACGAAGCTTAAAAAGATTTTCATAAAATTGATTTAAATAGTCAACATTAAATAAAAAAATATTTAAGAACCCCAAAAATATAGTTCAAAAAACAATAGTTAGATTTATTAGACACAGTAAAAAAATTAAATAATCCCCATACAAATTGTAGCCTTGTGCAAACTTGACAATATATGTTCCATTATAAGACGTTTTCAAATACTTCATTGGAACCAAAGAATGATAATTAAGTCATTAAATAGCTATTAAACTGAAAAAAATTCAAATTCACCCTTATTAAAAATAGGAAGAGGGAAATATATAATATATGATGAACCATAAAATTAAATTTATAACATGGGTAAAATTGAAAAATAATAAAAAATAACCATCCATTATCCTTATATTAAGGACCAAAGAATCCTTTTTTATAGGTGCCCTTTAATAGGGACATTGGGAGTATTAATTATAATAGTGTATTTATTAACTCGTTGGAGTACAATCATGACTCGGAAGCATTGGTGGTTAAAAATTACTTCCAAGAGCCAGTATGTTAAAGAAATAGAAATATCCAAGGAATTAAGCAAAAATCTTTACTATCATATTAAATGTGATACAACAAATTAATCATCCTAGGATAGCTTAGATGGTAAGAATAGAATAAAGTGTTCGCACTGCTTAATAAATGCACACATGCATTGGAATTTGAAAATAATAATAATAATAATAGTAATTATAATTATTATTATTATTATTATTTCAGCTATGGTTATTTTCTAAATAACACGTATTTTACTCAATTTGTAAAATCATATTTCAAATATTTGAACTCGACAAAAAATAATATACCAACTATTCAATTTCCAACATGGAACCTATTGCTTTATATGACCAAAAACAGATTCTCCATTATTGTCTCTTCCCTCCCCCCCCCCCAAAAGATATGAGTACCTACTTGAGTTGGCTTGATCAAAGAAAAATGTGGACACCGACTCAAAAGGTGGAATGTCATGATTAATAAGTAGATTTTTTTCCTTGTTGACTTCAGTAATGGGAAAACATCTACAATTGTGAAATTTTTTTTACACGACCTTAATGTTTAGAATGGAATGGAATGACTTAAATATATATAAATTCTTTTTATTCCCCCACTATTATCGTGCCACTTTCTCTACCCATATGAATTGACTAGACTTAGAAATTATGCATCGGCATAGAAAAATAAGACAACCATTATGGTCTTTTTTAAAACAAAATTTGTATTTCTTTATGCGAACTTATCTAAAAAGCAAAAACACTATGGTCTTTTTTTTAAAATTTGTAGGACATTTGAAGCAGGGATTTCATGGTCTTTTTTTACAAAATGTCATGATCAGTTAGGACTTATAGCATTTTAAAACTTTAACTCTTTTTATTATATAGACTCAAGATAAATGCATATTTAAATTATTAATGAAAGAAATCAATTGTCGTAAAAGAATTGAAGAAGGACCAAAGATGGACAACAGGGAAAGGGCTTGATTGTTTGTGGTTCTAATATAAAATTTTGAAAAATAACATGTTGGCTTTTTTTTTTTTTTTGCCAAAGAAATAACCATTCATATTGATGGACCATAAAAACAAGTCCCAATAGACTCAGCCCGAAACAAACAATGGAAGAACATAAAAAAAAAAAAAAACAAATCAAAATCAGCCAACATCACGAGCATCAATTCTATTAGCCTCTAATAGGTGATTGAGGTCGACAAATTAAGGTGATCCAATTAATAAAGAGTTGTTCCATTTTCCATAAGAATATGGTTCAAATACAGCTGCCAACCTGAGGATTTTTCTTGCAAATTGTAACTTGTTGAAAAATAATTTGCAACCTACCTTTCAAATTTTAAGTGGGAAGCATGAAAATTAACTTTAAAGCCAAAGGCATTTAGACAATCTTACTTTTAAATTCTAATCACGTCAAGGACCCTTGGTATTATATTTCTTGAAGAGGAAATTGCTTAGGGTATCTTTTTACCATATTATGTTCCATGCTTTTCCATCATAGCCACAAGAAAGGGATATATATATATATATCTACTCATATAATAGGAGAGTTAAAAATTGAATTGCCAAAACTGCTCTGAATATAATTTTCTTAGGCATTCGTAATAATAAGAAGTTAAATATAATTTTATCTTATTTTCTTTTTACGTTAAATGTTGGTTTTTATATGTTTTTATGTTTTTCTGGTTTATTTTTTATTTTACACACAAACAAAATTAATTTTTCCCCATTGTTTTCTATGCATAAAGTGATTTTACAACTTACAACTCTCACCTTACTATTTTGATCAAATAATCCAACTGATGAAACACTTACCATTTCATTTGTTATTATGAAAGCCTTTGATTCAACAAACCAATACATGGGCTTAGCTGTGATGTTGCCAGAGAAAGTGATTGTAATTAGGTTAATTAACATTACATGAATGTAATGATGAAGCATACAAGAAATTCTTTACCCGCATTTACAATGTTGGAGATGATATTTTCACGCTTATCAACTTGTTGGAGAAGATACCAAAACCACATATTATTGCCCTACTTCCTTTATGCAAAGGACGTATGAGTTTACTTGATTTGGAAATATAACATTCTTTGATTATCAAATCAAATGTATTCTAAGAATTGTTAGAGACTAATGTGTGCCATCATAGTCAGAATTTTCTAACAAAAAAGAATCCACAAAATTTTTTGAGCTTATTCAAGCTAGCCTATACATGTTTGATCCAAATTGCCAGCTATAACCTTCACCAATCCATTAATATAACTTAATATAACTTAATATAACCTTCCCCAACCCATATACCATTATTGACTTAAGGATACTAGAAAATTTTAGAGAAAAAGTTTCTAAGTATTTTCACACCTCATTTCGTCCATTATATCTTTAAGCCTTAAAACATAATCTATAGGAATCAAAATTCACTTGTTTTGATCAATTTCATATTTTCAGTATTAGTATTGTGAAACATGGAATACATTGCCATATAACTTAAACATTCCTCCGTGCATCCACACACACCCACCCAGCCACACCCCCTCCCCGCTATAATAACCCAATTAAAAAATAAAATTAATTTAAAATTTGTGTTAAGATATGTTAATTATATTTTTTATATATTTAGGGGTTAATTTTCCAAAGTAAATTGATGGCTTAGTGGTGAGTATTATTGACTTCAAATCCAAGGTTCCTGGTTGGATCTCTTTGGAAGCAAGAGTCAGAATAACTTTTTTTCTTTCTCTCTCACTTTTCAATCTTTATGTGAAATTAACCATTTGTCCTTAACTTGATCAGATTTTTCTCTTCCTTCTTCCTCATATTTTCAAGTTTTTGTGCATAAGTTCAGACAGCAAGAGAGCTGTCCAAAAACTTCACACACTGTGCTCTAATCTATGATATCTCCAACGTTCGTGCTTGCCACTATCGCCAAAGTGGAGCTGTACCATTCTTGTTCTGCTAAACTTAATCCAGCCGATTCTCCACAATGGAAAGGAATTGATCAAACATTTCCTGAATTTGGCAATGAGCCTAGAAATCTCAGGCTTGGACTATGTACAGATGGCATGAATCCTTATGACAATCTTAACAGTCAATATAGCTCATGGCCTGTTCTGTTAGTAATTTATAATCTTCCTCTATGGTTGTGCATGAAACGTAAATATATCATGCTGTCTTTGATGATTTCAGGTCCTAAAAAACTAGGAAATGATATAGATGTTCACTTAGCACCATTGATTAAAGATTTGAAGATGATGTGGGAGGTAGGTGTGGATGTGTTTGATTCATATCGAAATGAGTCTTTCAAGTTACGAGCTATGATTTTTTGCACAATAAATGATTTTCCTGCATATGAAAATCTGTCTGGATACAGTGTGAAGGGGCATAAAGCATGCCTTATCAGTGAAGAAAATACATCCCATCAACAACTAAAATATGGGAAGAAGATAGTCTATCTTGGTCATCAAAGATTCCTGAGACAAGACCATCCTTATTGTAGGCAGAAGAAATCATTCAATGGCTATCAAGAGTATGATGAAGCTCTAAAGCCATTAACTGCAAGCTTGGTTTATGAACAGGTCAAAGACATTAATGTAGTATTCGGTAAGAGCCAGAAAAAGGAAGCTCAAAAGAATCCATGGAAGAAGAGGTCAATTTTTTTTATCTCCCTTATTGAAGCACCCTTGAGGTGAGACACAATATTGATGTGATGCATCTAGAAAAAAAATATATGTGACAGTCTCATTGGAACACTATTAGATATAAAGGGGAAGACCAAGGATGGAGTCAAAGCAAGACTAGACTTACTTGACATAGGAATACGAACAAACTTGGGTCCAAGAGCAAAAGGAAAGAAGACTTATATGAGCCTAGCTCCTCATACTTTGTCTAAAAGAGTGAAAAGAAGTTTTTGCTAGTGTCTACATGGTGTTAAAGTGCCACAAGGATATTCTTCAAATGTCAAGAACCTTGTATCAATGAAAGATTTAAACTTGGTTGGTTTGAAGTCTCACAATTGCCATGTACTAATGCAACAATTATTACCAGTAGCTATTCGAGATATTTTAGAGGAAAA